TCAATTTCTTCCTGCTTCAGTCTTGAGAGGGTGTATATGTCCAAGAATTTATCCATCTCACTAGGTTTTCTAGTTTGTGTAAATAAATTTTCTACCCCTTTATATTTTTCTCTTGTTCCCTTTGGACTCTCATTAATGTGTATACTAGTTTGCTTTGTGATGTCCCATAAATCTCAAAGTATTTTTTTTCACTAATTTTTATTCTTTTTGTTCTTCTGACTGGATAATTTGAAATGGATTATCTGTCTTCAAGTTTGCTTATTCTTTCTACTACTTCATTGTGCTGTTTCGATCTCCTTAATTTTTCAGTAGAGTCATTTTATTCTTCAGCTCTAGAATTTCTGCCCTTTTATGATTTATACCTCTCTTGAATTTCTAGTTTTGTTAATACATAACTTTCCTGATTTTATTAACTGTGTTTTTTGTTGTTGTTGTCTTGTAGCTCACTGAGTTTTTAAAAGACAATTATTTTGACCTCTTTGTCAGGCAATTCATACCCACATTTCTTTGGAGTCAGCCATTCAGCTGTTTTGTTCCTTTCATGGTGTCATGTTTCCTTGATTTTTTTTATGTTCCCAGAAGCTTTGTGTTACCGTCTTCCTTTCATGTTTCTTGAAGACTTTCATTGCTGCAGTTGAAGGAGCAATCACATCCTCCAGTCTAGCTAACTAGTTTATAAAACAAACAAAGAAAGAAACAAAAAAACCACAAAACTTTTATCAGTCAGCCTGGCTAGAGATTCTGGGGGTCTCTCAGGCCTTTTTTTTTTTTCAGACAGAGTCTCACTCTGTTGCCCAGGCTGGAGTGCAGTGGCACGATCCTGGCTCACTGAAAGCTCCACCTCCTGGGTTCAAGCAAGTCTCCTGCCTCAGCCTCCCTAGTAGCTGGGACTACAGGCGCGTGCCACCCCCCACCCCCCGCCCCCAGCTAATTTTTGTATTTTTAATAGAGATGGAGTTTCACCATGTTGACTAGAATAGTCTCAATCTCTTGACCTCATATTTCCACCCGCCACGACCTCCCAAAGTGCTGGGATTACAGGCATGAGCCACTACGCCCGGCCTCTCAGACCTTTCTATGAATGTGCCTTTCCCATTTCTCTTGTTCCTTCGCAGTGGTGGTGGTGGTGGGGCGGGGTGCGGGGTGAGGGAGGTGTCTTAGAACTGTATGCTTTCTCAGTATCACAAAGTAGGTTGGACTCTGAGAGCCTTTTGTTTATTTTCCTTAGGGCAGTGAGGGGAAGGTTCCTGGCTGTGCACTTTCTCCTGATCCACCAGAGCTGCCTGCTAAAGTATGTGTCCTATGTGTGGAAGCTCACATGCAATCTGTGGTAGTTCATGTGTACTCTCCATGGGGGGAGTACATACATGTTGATGTCTATGGTGTGCTCAGGATGCCAGCCACAGCAAGTGGTGCATGCGGAGTGCTGGGGATATATGTCAGCTTGTTGGGTGTTCACAGTTGAGACACCCTATGAGACTCGCGTTTGGAGATCCGGGCAGAGTCTTCACCCCAGCCAGTAGGATCTGCAGCTTGTTGAGATTTGTGTGCCAGTTGCCACGATGCCTCTCTTCTTGTCCCTGCTCCTAGCTGCCCCCAGATGTTTTTGCTCTGCGTATTCCCTGTGTTTTGGGTGGGGTGAAACAGAAGTGAGCCTCCTGGATAGCATCCCAGAAGACTGGGGAAGCCAGGTGCTCATTTCGATCTCCATTTTTCTCGTTAGGAGAAATCACAGGCTGAGTGAATCTCTTAGCATTGAGCTGTGCTGCACTTGGGCAGGGGTAATATGGGTAAAGTGAAGCTATTCTTACTCCCCTTAGTGTATTTATTCTTCAGGTTTTTTTTCACTTCATTGAGGTGCTGGAACCTTTTAACTAAATGACTGGGCTACCATAAAAGCATTGCTATCATGTGTAGTTGTTAAAATCAGTGTTTCTGGGTGGGGGTTGGGGGTGGAGGGAGAGTTGAAGGCTGAAACTTCCCATTCTATCATCTTGACATCCCAAATAGGACCTTCACTGCAAGAAATTTGTTTCTATGTTTCTTTTTATAATTCGTATTGCTTATCTTTTAAACATTTAATTCAACAATCATCTCTCTGTTCTCTGCGTCTTAAGTGGCCTTCCCCAGTTACTTTCTATCATGCCATATAGTTTATTTACTTTGCAGCATATGTGACAATGAAAATTATTTTGTGTTTTCATTGCTGTTTATTTCTTCATTATTTATTTCTGCCATTGTAATAAGGTCTTAGAAATTTTATCTATATTGTTATTTTTGTAGCCTCTAGAATAATACATGGCCCAGAGTAGGTGCTCTCTGAATAATTATTGAATAAATAATTTTTTCAAAGGATTCTAAAGTTTTCTTCAAAGCTCCAAAAAGTTCTAATTAGGCTATTATTTTGCTGAAATAAAATCTAATTTCTCAAATATTAGCATTTGTAATAAAAATGATTTATTCTTCAGCTTTATGTTTTGATTATATATGTGGCATAGCCAATTATATTTTATTGCAAGTCTAAAGCAGTTCTGTTATATCCTAGATCAAATAGGCTTTATGAGCCTTCCAGGGAGCTTAAACTGTATTTATTACATAGTTTCTGCATGAAAATATGATTTTGTGATTGAAGTAACAATAATTTTTACTTTCCAACAAACTTTTACTTTGTTTACTTTTTTTGTTAAAAAAGAAGTTATTTTTACATTGATAACAGTCTACCTTTGAGTTCCGAGCAAGCATTAAACCTTTGGGTTATAAACCACGTTTCCATTAAAAGCACACTAATATTCATGCAACAACTATACTAAGTCTTTTTTTCAGAAGTGAGTAGGAATGTAAATGTCAAATTGGTAACTATAGAAGTATATATGAAACAGATAAGGTATCTGATATATAACTTCTGCCTTTGTTAGGTATTTGTTTCTGCTGTGGCCATTGGATTTGAGTGCAGTACCCCACGGTATTGGATAGTCATTAAGACAGTGGGTCTATTTAAAAACACCATTGAATAAGAAAATACTTATTGGTGCACATTTGCCTATTGTTTAGAAAAAAGTTAGAATCTGTTGCATCCCACTCACTTTCTTAAAGTTCACCTGAGAGATAAATATAGAAAAGGCATTATCGTCTACAACAAAATGTTTTGTTTTTATTATGTATTCATATTTTTCTTTGATATTTATTTAACTTCTTTTTGTGAGATTAATGGAGGCCATATTCTTTACTATTTAGCCAAACTATTTTTTTAATTCCTTAAATAATTATTTTATTTCATTTAAGAGGTTTAATATTTTTTTTTAATGAATAGGACTTTTAACATATTTTTCCGGCCAGGAGTTAATATATAATTTACTGAAACATGAATAATATCCAAATTTCTGTGTTTATAGTCAGGAGCTCAAAGTGTTACTCCAATAGAAAATTATACATATTTGGTAGCTCTTATGGAATAATTAAAAATACTTCTATGCCCATATATCAGCAAAACTATTTATACATGTTTCTCTTAAACGAATTTTATTTTCTCTGAAGTTTAGAAAAACAATTTCATCCTTAAAAATGTTGGAAAAGAAAGAAAATGAGTTAAAATGTGTTCTGATATTTGAATGTTGCAAACTAAGATATGTGTGTGTGTTTGTATATTCTTTATATGCTTGAAATACAGTTTTTCTCTTCCCAGGCTAACGTTAGGCATAAAAAACTTCCCATAACAGGCTGCACTGGTCAATGTGTCCCTGGAAGAAGGTATTTTGTATCTCAGAGGTAGCATAAGCAGCATTAGATGTGGTGTTGTCATGGTAACTGCTCTCTTTTTTTTAATTGAATGGCATAGTAAGTAGTCTTATAAAACCCACCAACCCATAACTTGCTGGTGCCCCAAGGCAGTTTTAACTTAAGCACCTTCTCTTTGTCTTTATATTTTTAATCTAAGGGATTCAGGTGTTTGACTATACCAGTTTTATGAGTCTAATGTGCTTTGGAACTTAAATCCTTGGTTTCTTGACCATAGATTATTTCTAAATAGGAGCTCAATGCAGTTATAATATCAAGGAAAGAATACAAAATTTCCAGTGCAAAAAGAAGAAAAGCAAACTTGTACATAAGGCCATGTCTATAACACACAAACTGAGTAAGATGCTAATATTTGATCATCTGATTTCACCAGAACCTAGCTACACATGGCAAAGCGCAAATAAATCATTCTAGAAATGAGAGCCACAAAAACACTGTGCTAAAATATGTCTTGGGCAACCAGTACAAATAGCTTAGTTTAAATATAAATTCTCCTGGGATGCAAGAGTCCTTTGTATTTTTTTGTTTGGACTCAAGACACACCTCTTAAAATATCTATACCCTGCTGCAAAGATATTGCATGGAGTCAAATAAAATGTATTGTAACTTCCTCTTCACCTACTTTGCTTCCTAGAGACACTAATTCTTTTGATTATTTTGCTAGTCATTTATGTTTAAACTGTTAATAAATCTATTTAAATTAAAAATTCAATATATAAGAATTGATAATGCTCTGTAGGAAAATAGGGCTCTTATAATATGTCTATTTGTGGAAAAGAGGGCATTGCAATATTGATGAAAAGATTATTCCAACAGTATTAATTTAGTGTCAATAAATATTATCTTCCTACTGAGTAGCATTGTCATTTTCCAAAAGACTGTGTGGGTAAGTACAATTAGAAATAACTGTAAGTTTATAATGGGTACTAACGATTAAGCATACCAAAGAAACCCAAGTTGAGAGTTTAGAATTTACTTTGTCCAGCTTCCTGAAAACATGCTTTATCTACTCTTTTAGTGCTTCTAATTTTTTTTTTAAGAGAGGGTCTCACTCTGTCACCCAGGCCAGAGTGCAGGGGTGCAGTCATAGCTCACTGCAGCCTCAAACTCCCAGGCTCAGGTGATATGCCCACCTCAACCTCCCAAGTAGCTGGAACCATAGGTGTGTGACACTATGGTTGGCTAATTTTTGTTATTTTTTGTAGAGACAGGATCTCCCTATATTACCTAGGCTGGTATAGAACTCCTGGGCTAAAGTGATCCACCCACCTCGACCTCAGAAAGTGGCTTATAAATTTTGAGGCAACTCAAATATAGATGATTGTTTTCTCAAATTTGCTAGCATCTTTTTATAAGGTGAATAATTTAATTTACATATAGACAATTAATACAGACCATAGTAGAGTGGGAAACTATGACAGCTTACTCTTTGCAGGAAATTCCTCTCCCTAAGTCAGAAAAAGCCCACAGGTAATAAGGGTATTGGGACAAGGAGTTAAGTATGATGATGAAATGTATCCACACTATTTTTTTGGAAGAATCACATCTCATTGAAATCAGAGTAAAGAGAACTCCAGAGGAGAGATGTTGGGAGACACTTCTCCATGGGTATCTTTTGTTCCTGCTTTCTTGCTTAATACGCAAAGAATTCAAGGCCCTCATGACTCTTACCTGGTCATTTTTCAGTGTTGTGTTTGTAGCAAGCAACCTTGAGGGATAAGATAATGTGTTCCTCTGGAACAAAGAGCAGGTTTGCTTACTGCTTGCTATAAAACAGCAGGTTTCCAATCTAAGCATTCCTTGGCTGTAAGACAAAGTCACTGCATCAACCTGGGCTCTATGCATCACCCCTATGGAATATGGGGATCAAGGGGGAACTGATGCAAAGATGCTGGTGCTTGTGTTGCTTGCTTTGCCATGATTAATAAAGTCCTTTGTCTCAGATTCAGGAGTCTTGTGTCTTCTACTAGCATTCATGAAGCAGTAGCAGCCTTACTTATTAGCTTAGAAGTAGGGCAAAATCCCTGACCAGATAGGAGAAAGCTGCATTAACTTACTCCATCATCCTTTTGGGGATGGAATTAATGGACCACCAAAACTGCAATCTGATTCTTGCCAGAAAAGAGAGCCATGATTTAATGAATCTAAATCTGAAGCCATTACCTTGGTAGATGTTCCACGAACAAGTGAAATGTTTTTTAGAAGCACATTCAAAAGTTGTGGGAGTGGGGGAGGGATAGTTTACTCAGAGGTATGTATTGTTAGTCCTTTAAATAAGATGAGGGTTTTTGTTTCCCTCCCAGTAGCAGAAAACTTTTAAACTAACATTATTCTGAACATTTGCAATAAAATTTTGCACCTTTGACCACTTATGTATTTACATGGTATAAAGTAATTTTGAATCCATTATAAGCAGAATCTTGGCATGATCTACAGACTTCTAGCAAAAGTGGCACTTGGGTCCTAATACTGACCTAATAAATAACTGAGTTGTTGGGCAAATCAGTTATCAAGTGAAAATGTCAAATCTATCTCTTCACAGATACCTGCTTGGGCGTAACTATTTGTATTCAACTGGTAACAGCCTAACTACACTTTTGATCCTATGGGAATAGACAGTCTGGAATGTGGTGATACTCTGTAGCTATCAAATCTGCAGGTGAGAGAAATAATATTTATGAAAATAATCTGAAGAACATGCAGTCTATCTATTTCTCTAAACAGTTATTTCTCAACCTTTTGCTTTTTAAATTGGTCCCTTATGGAGCCTTTTTAGGCATTTTTCTCCTTATCACCTTCCTGCTCCTAGAGAAACTTGAATATCAGAGATAATTGGTGTATATATTTATGTACTGTGGCCCTTTAGAAGTCTACAAGCTATTTTAAGATCTAAGATTTTCTTGCCTCCTAAGAATAAATAATCATCTGCTTTTGGATGGTATTGCCCATGTTGAGAATTCATGCTCCAAGCACTAGGAAATCTATCCCTGGACTGATAGAATATTTCTCTGCCTACACTCCATTATATTGACTCCCAACAATTGCTTTTTTGCTTAACTGTCCTGTACTTTGGATTAATATGTATATTTAGTAATGCTGTAAGAAACAACACCAATAAACTACTGTAAGGCTACAGATAAATTGCTAATTGGAGGCAACATAGCATAGTGATTACAAGTTCTATCTGACTACTTAAATTTAATCTTGACATTACCACTTACTAGCTATGCAACATTGGACCTATTATATATCATCTCTCTAAGTCTCAATTTGCTCATGTGTAAAATGAGAATAATAATAGTACTCATACCACAGGATGATAAGAATTAAGGATAAAACAAACATAAACTGCCTGACCCAGAATAAATGTTCAGCAATATTAGCTCTTAGATATACATACAGTAATGCAGGGTGCTCTCCACAAATATTCTAAATGGAATGTTTTTTAGCCAGGACCATTGGCTTATATCTGTAATCTCATTGTTTTAGGAGGCTGACGTGGGAGGATCACTTGATACCAGAAGTTTGAGACCAGCCTGAGCAACATAGTAAGATCCTGTCTCTCCAAAAAAAATTAAAAAAAAAAAAAGAAAAGCTTAGAACTTAGCCTGGTGTGGTGGGGTGTATATACTGCCTGAAGTCCCAGCTATTCAAGAGGCTGAGTTGGGTGGATTGCTTGAGCCCAGGAGATCGAGGCTACAAGGCTACAGTGAGCCATGATCACACCACTGGACTCCGGCCTGGATAATAGAGCAAGGCCCCATTTCAAATAAAACAAAAAACAAAAAAACAAAAAACAAACAAACAAACAAAAACAGAAAACAAACAAAAAAACTCCAAAATCAAAAAGAATGTTTTTACTTGTCATACTGAGTATGTTCACACTGGTCATATATAGTTGAGTAATGGATTTTATCTGAGGAACACTAGAAATAGACATTGAGGCTAGTGATATATCAATTTTCTTTCTTTGTACCATCTGAAAGTTTTAAGTCCAATTTGTCTCCTTCCGTTAGCAAGTATATAGTAATTCATAGCATATATATTTACTCCTGATATCTAATTATGTCCTTACTCTCATTTCCGTTTCTTGTTTACCATGGATATACAGGCCTGGATTTGAGTCCTTCATTCATTATTCATCAACTGGTTAATCTTGGTTGTGTTTTCAAGCCTCCTTAACATCCCACTTATATAAAATAGGGTCAATAGTAGGACCTAATTAATAGGATTGTTTTGAGGAAAGTATACAATACCTAACAAGTAATAAGAATTCAATATATGCTAGTTACTTTTACTATTTATGTTATTTTGCCATATTTTGAAAATCTGTGTAAACCACTGTAAATATTTTTCTGTAAAAAAATGAATAAATAAAATACACTTAGAATGTTGCCATGACAGCAGTGTCTTCTCCACCAGGGTTTGGGGTTTCAGGTATTTTCACACTATTACTTAAGCCTTCTTGACTAGGAAAGGAGCAATGAAATTGACTCAGCACCACTCTGGTCATCATTGTAGACTCATCTTCAAGTCCCTAGTTGGGACACTGGCTTATGGTCTGTGGATGAATGAGAATGAGAATTTTACCAGTATGATGACTGCTTTAGTAGGGCAAGCCCTGGAACTAAATTTAGATCTTTAGACACTTTCCTTGAAGGTCAATGAAGCTTTGCTCATGATGCTAAGCAAAGTAACTTGTACATCCTCATGCCTGTCTCACATCTGCTAATAAAAATAGTTGTCTTTTTTAGTAGCTGACATCTAGGGCTTGTACTAACATATTTAAAAATCCTCAGCCTAGATGAAAGTTCTAGCTTCTTTATTTCACTTCTGTGGCCTTGAGCAGGTTATTTTATCTCCTAGGTTTGTCTTCCATAAAATGGAGATAATATTCAGACACGCTGTTGAGAAGGAAGTGAACTTATATATAAATATGTAAAGCTTGTGCCATGCCTATTGTAGATACTTTGTCAATGTAAATTTGATTCATTTCCCTTTTCTTGGTAGGGGGATCAGGGTTTTCAGGTTGATTCTCAGGTTAAGAATAGAAAAAGTAAAGCATTTCTTACCTTAAGTCCCTTATACTGCTGATTTAGCCTAGTAAAAATAGACCTCAATACAAAGTGCAAGGGCAGAATCCTCTCACCACAATAAGGAATTTCTTGCTTTTCTCTTTTCAGAGGAGTTTGGCTGCGCATGGATGAAATTAATGGGGGTAGATATGAATGGAGGAAGGGGAAGGGGATGTTTAATAGTTTTTCTCCTCCTTTAGTGTTGGTGTCATGGGGAATGCAATTTCTGAGACCCTGTGTGATAGTCATAATTCTAAAATGATTCTCAAGGACCCATTCTTGTATAATTTCCTCCCTTTAACTGTAAGAGGAACGCTTGAATATGAAAGGACATCACTCTGGTTAAGTTACACAGCAAAGATCTTGCAGATGTAATTTGGGATGCTAATGAGTTGACTCTGAGTTAACCAAAAGGGAGATGATTTGGATAGGCCCAACCGAATCACAGGAGCCCCTTAAATCTGGGTCTAGAGGACAAAGACAAAGTTAAAGACTTGAAATATGACAGGATTTGACTTGGCACAACAACTGCAATAGAAAGGGGGCCATATGGTAAGGGTGGCCTCTAGGAGCTGAGAGCAGCCCCACGCTGACAGCTAGCAAAGTAACAAAGACCTCAGTTTTATAACTGCAAGAAGCTGAATTCTGCCAAAAATGAGAATGAATTTGGAAGTCAGTTTTTCTCCAGAGTCTCCAGCCAAGAACTCAGTCTGGTTGACACCATCATTTCAGACTTATGAGACCCTCAGCAGAGAAACCAGTCTTGCCATGTCCAGACTTCCGACCTATGGAAACTGTGAGATAATAAATTTGTGCTGTTTTAATTTGCTGGGTTTGTGGTAATTTATTGCACAGAAACAGAAAACGAATGTGCCCTGGTGCATTATATATTTACTCCTGACAATACAATAGGTTTTCTATTAAATAAATAAATATGGCAAAAAACATAAATAGTAAAAGTAACTAGCATTTATTGAATTCTTATTACTTGTTAGGTACTGTGTACTTTCCTCAAAACAATCCTATTTATTACGTCCTACTATTGACCCTATTTTATATAAGTGGGATGTTAAGGAGACTTAAGAACTCAACTAAGATTAACCAGTTCATGAGTAATGAATGAAGGACTCAAATCCAGGTCTGTACATCTATGCTAAATAAGAAAGGGAAATGAAAGTAAGCACATAATTAGATATCAGGAGGAAATATATATGCTATGAGTAAATAGTTTTTATCATATTTATTATATTTTTTAATAGTTTTTCTATTAAAAGAACCATGATATAGTGAGTTTTGCTTGTGCTTTAAGTCTTACCCTCAATTACTAAGCATATAATAACTTACAGAGAAGCCCAAGGCAGCACCTGGGAAGAGCCTGAAACTCGTTCCACTTATTTGAGCAATAGCTTCATCACTATTAGACATTATCCTCTTGAGCTACCAGCCCTTCAGATTTAGCAACTTTATCCTACACACAGCTTGGGAATGAGGTCATGGTAGCTCCTCACTGGCGTGGGCCCTAATTCATGATTCAAACATATCAGGCTTTTCTGCAGTAGTCAGTTCAAAAGTTTGATTCTGTATGATTCATAACATGCTCATTTATTTCTTTTGTGCCTCTTAATGTTCTTATTCCTTCATTATTATTATTTGAATCCTCCTAGATTCCAAAGTCCTGGGATGACGAGACCTTTTTCTTCCTTTTGATCTTCTACAGTACTTATTATTGTTTGCAAACTAGATAGTCAAAGATTGATTAAAAGAACCATGATATAATAAGTTTTGCTTGTGCATTAAGTCCTGCTCTCAATTAGTAAGAATTTTCTGATCTAGCATTCACCTGAAAGATAGAAAGGAGATGGAATCTTATTAATAATAAACCACCAGAACAGAGTCAAATGATGCAATAAGAGTGGAAGCTCTTCTTTCTGGCAGAGAAGAGGAAGTCCATATGCTCAGAACTGTCAAGCAGTGAGAGCAGAAATGGGCTACGGTAATTATCAAGGAATTAATTCACATACTCTCTATGAAACAACTGAGCTACTAATGTCTTGGCACCCCAGACACACTTCCCCATGTGAATCATAGCCATTTCTATCCTGTGATACAAGCAGAGAGCTGCCATTAAGGAAATGCAACAGTTTGCCAGAGGAGAACTAGAAATACAGGTGCTGATACACGAAAAAGTAGAGCAGAGACTAATGTAAACCGTCCAACAGACCAGATATTTTAAAAGGAAGGCAGATCTGACCAAGAGGGGAAAACGATAATATGTTCCCAGAGTAATGGATGACATCACACACCAGAGTAAGTCCATCCATATTGGCTGGACCCTAAACCAACTGGCTGGATCCTTTTGATACATACTAAAATCAGTCATGCTACAATGCACACTTTACCCATGTAGACAAAGCCTGCAGTCATCCCACTATTTCAAGGGAGAATAATAGAAAAACAGACCACAAGTTGCAGAGGCAAACCACATCAGTGACTTGCTAATGTAAGTTCAACTGATATTAGGTTCCAAACTGGAAGCCAGCCATGGTGGTTCATATCTGTAATCCAAGCACTTTGGGGGGCCAAGGGAGGAGGATCGCTTGAGTGCGCATGAGTTCAAGACCAGCCTGGGCAAAATAGCAAGACCCCGTCTATAAAAGTTTTTGGGTTTTGTTGTTGTTGTTTTTGTTTTTAAATTAGTCAGGTATGGCGGCACACACTTGTAGTCCTAACTACTTGGGAAGCTGAGATGGAATGGTCACTTGAGCCCAGGAGTTTGAGGCTGCAGGGAGCTATGATCAGTCCACTGTACCGCAGCCTGGGTGACATTCCAGCTTGTCTCTAAAAATTAAAATAAAAAACTCTTCTACACCATGTACTGTGTGCTATTCATTGTAAGTGAATACTAAAAGATGGGAGCTATTTGTGAATTTTGGAACTAAGAAGGCCTAACAGATGCAGATGGAGTCACAGTATGAGCTCAAGTACAAAGATGGAAAGAGCATGGCGCATTGGAGACAGACTCATCCACTATATCCAAATTACTTAGTGGTTCATGAACAACTGTGAGTGGATAATCAAGAATCACCAGATACATGCGTAGAAGCAGCAACAAGGGGCCTTATAAAAAGAAACTTGATTCTGGAAAGAAATAGATAATTCAGGAAGAAAACTTAAACATGATCATTTTGGTATTCTCAGAGAGATCTAAGAAGCCATTATATCCAGAATTGAATAAGATAAAATAACTAGAACTGGTCCTTAGAAATGCGTATGATTGTCAAAATAAAATACTGGATAGGATAACTGAATAACAACTTGGACACAAATTGTTAAAGTTGGTGATACAAAATATTCATAAATATCTCTCTACATATATATAGAACATAAAGAAAAAGACAAAAAAGTTTTTTAAATGGGTGAAAATATTGAGCTATGAATAATATTTATTAAAATATATCAATCAAAGTGTTCACAAAAAAAGTAAAACACATTATTGAAGATGCAACAGGAAAATTTCTTTGGGCAGAGTAAAGATTCACATCTCCAGATTTGAAAGGAGCTGTAAAGTATCTGTTTATTTCTTTACTCAACAATTATTTGAGCTTAGTATTATTCAGAATTTTGTGGTTATCAAAGTATCAAAAAGGGCTGGGCGCAGTGGTTCCCACCTGTAATCCCAGCCCATTGGGAGGTCAAGGCGGGCAGATCATGAGGTGAAGAGATCAAGGCCATTCAGATCAACATAGTGAAACCCCGTCTCTACTAAAAATTCAAAACTTAGCACGGTGGTGCGCACCTGTAGTTGCACGCAGCTACTCGGGAGGCTGAGGCAGGAGAATCACTTGAACCCTGGAGGCGGAGGTTGCAGTGAGCTGAGATTGCACCACTGCACCCCAGCCTGGTGACTTCATGACAGAAGGAGACTCCATCTCAAAAAAAAAAAAAAAAAAAAGAAAAAGAAAAAAAGGAAAAGGAATTGTGTGAAAAATACATGATAGGCAGTGTTTTAAAATACCCCCCAGGAATCCCACCCACTGTGTACATGCCCTATGGCATCTCTTCTTCTTAAATATAGGGAGAGACCCCTGATTCTGATAGATGTCATTCCCATACTAGGTTACGTTATGTGGCAAAGATGAGGAATGTTTTCAGATAGAATTAATGTCCCCAGTCAGTTGACTGTTAATCAAAAGGGAGATTATTCTAGGTGTGCCTGACCTCATCAAGCAAGTCCTTTAAAAAGGCTCCCTGGACTAGAGACAGGAAGAAGAGATTCTCTTTCTATGGCTGTCTTTGAAAAAGCAAGCTTCCATAAATTCTACAGCTTCAAGGAAGTGAATTCTGCCAGAAACGTGAGGAAGTGCGGAAGTCGACGCTTCCCTAGCCAGTTGAGAATGTAGCTTAGTAAACACCTTGATTTTAACCTTGAGAGACTCTGTGCTGTGGATTCAGCTGGCCTTTCCTGTGACCTTCACAAACTGTGCTATAATAAATGAGTATTATTTTAAAGTTACATTTGTGGTAATTTGTTAAGCTGCAGTAGAAATCTAATGTATCTACATAAATTATGGTGAAACTTCAGAACACTGTGTGTAAAAAAATTTCTTACAGCTTTCAAATAAAATTTTAAAAGTTATAAAACTCAAAATAACTTTAAACTTTTCATTAACAACACCATATTCTAGAAAACAATGCAACAACTCTCTCCATGTTCTGACAGAAAATGATTTGGAGCCAAACAATTAATAAAGTCAGAGTGAAATAAAGACATTTTCTGACATGTAGACTTTGGAAGTTCACTGTCCATACGGCATGATTCTGAGAAAGTGATAGAATATTTTTTAAAGAATGAATTTGACTTTCACTCTTAAGATAATCTCCTTGCAGGGGCACATATGAATATGTGCCAGATATCTCACTTGGATCTGGATGACATATTTGCAATATCTTAGTATTTTAAATGCTGTTTATTGTTTTTTACATTTTTTACTGAGGTAGAATATATGTGGTCAAATGAGTATCAAGTTCACTAATCTTTAGGAGGTTTGATCAAGTTTTAAAGATGTATACACCTAAGTAAACACTACTAAGATGAAAATATATAACATTTCCAGCACCCAAAAGTAGTCTTTATGCCCCTTTCTAGTCATACCCTTCCATTCTCAAAATAGTAATCACCATTCACACTTCTTTCTTCATTCATTAGTTTTGCCAGTTCTTAAACTTCATCCAAATGTAATCCAATGGTGTGTATTATTTTGTGTCTAATTTCTGCCATGGTGAGAGTCATCCTTGTCATTATGTTTACCAGTTGTTCATTCTCTTTTCATTGCTGTGTAGTATTTCTTTACATGCTATAATTTAGCCATTTTTGTTGTTGGACATTGGACTTGGTTTTGGTTCTTGGTTGTCATAAATGAGTCTGTTATGTACATCTTTCCACAATACTTTGGTGGATGTGTGCACTCATTTGTGGATGGGAAAATACCTAGGAATGGGATTGCTAGGACATAGGGTAGTAGATATTTTTATTGTTTTTAACATTTACACTCAATTTACAGAGGAAATATTGAAGGCTTATGTATAGTTATAAGCTAATAAAAATAATAAAATTATTGCCAATTTGAAAGCAATGTTAAGACTGAACAATAAGATCTATAGGGAAAGAAATAAAATTTCAGTTTATTTCTTTACATCCACTAAGCTGTAATTAGGGTAAACTCTCAAAAACCTTATTCTGATCATGATTTGATCAGAATTCAGTGACTTTTCCTCGATCTTAGGATAAAGGCGAAACTCCTTTATAAATGCTGCAAAGTTCCAAATGGCCGGTCGATATTTATCTTTTCTTTTTTATGTCTCTGCAGTTCTTGACTTTCTCCACTTGAGTCCCACTGACACTCATCATTACTTCTCCGCCACAGGGTCTTTGCACAAGCTGTTCCTCTGCTTAGAAAGCTTTTGCTACAATTTTCCACATAGTTAAATCCTACTCATTGGTCAAATTTCTTATCAAGGGTGGTCTCTTCTGAGAAACTATCCCTGACCTCCTTAATATAAATTCTCATGACTTATCTCATAATGATTTTATTTTGGGCCATACTTATAATTTATTTTGTTTTGTTATTATTGATCACCCTTTTCATTAAGTGGTGATTTTCACTATGGCAGGATTTATGTCTGTTTTTACTCATTTTATTGCTAGAATCCAGTGCAGCATTTGATCCATGTGGACACTCAATATTATTGAGCAGAAGAAAGAATCTTGTATGATTTTCAATGTCGAAATCTCAAAATTGAAGGAGTAATATCATTTAAAATTACGAAGGCAACCACTTGAAAAACTGAAAATAGTGTAAATCAGAATGAAAATAGGAGAAGACTCTAGTAAGGGAACTAAATTTCTCTTCTTTGTAGAATGGAGTCTGTATAAGCTATCTAAAGCCCAGTACTTATAGTGACAAACACTAGAACTAAAATTAGAAATATTTAAATGTAATTGTCTCTGGGAAATGAGACTGAGGCTGAGGAATGGAGACTGGGAAGGTGAATTTCTAAGTTTTACCCTTATTTTTAATTTATTTTGTTACATTTATTATAATATATATCAGAAAGATGAAACTCAAGGTCACAATACACGCCCAGCTTTAGAAAACTCTGGAAGACTGGGAGACCTAATTTGCATATCTGCCCCTGTGCCACAGATTGGGCATAAGGTATGGCACATGTAAATAGTTATTTGAGATTGCTGACAAAATTACTGGATATATGATAAGCTCAAGGCTTTTGGGATAAAGTTATGCCAATGGGAGCCACAAACTCATTTGAAGACTATCAACGGTAACAATATATTTTGGGAACTGACTTGTAAAAGGTTGAAGTTCACTGGAATTAGTTCAAGCAGTCAGGAATTAGTACAAAATTTTAACATCCTGGGTGGTTTCTGCATTTGCTCCCACTTTAGTCACAGCACAGGTGGTAGCAATACCAAACCAAATTGATCACATACAATGACAGAGTATGATAGAGGGGAACAAAATGTTAATCACTATATAGGTTTCAGATATAAGATCTCAAGAGCTGAACTGGAGCAAATATTTCTAACCTAATTGATGAATTCAAGCTAAGGATTAGTACTATCAGGAGAAAATTTAGTAGTAGGATGTGGGGACTTGGGGTCAGGATGATCCACATTAATTCTGTACTCCCTCGGTGACTCTGTTTAGAAACCAGGACCTTGCCTTCTGGGCTGTATCACTGAACATTTCCAGTATGTAGCCTGTCCTCCAAGTTCCAGCACAAAGCTAATTCCTTTTTTGAAGCCTTTCTGTTGCCCATAGCCAGAAACAGTTCCTCTCTCCCTTATCTCCCACAGCATTTTTCCAACTTTCTTATGGCATTCAGCACTTTATACTATGTATTCTGGTTACGTATGTGCATCCCTTACTTCTTCCATTAATCTGAAAGCTCATAAAAATTATGTCATTTGCATTCACCACAGGGCCTGGCCATGGACTTGCATATCATTGCTGAGAGAAGTCTCAATAGCAGCTTAAGTACTATTGAGGACCTCAAGACGACAAATTTTCTCCATCTCTTCTAAGGCTGAATTGTCATATGCAATGTGCTTTATGGCTATGCTGGTGAGGCTGGTAAGTGTCACAGAATTTAGAATTTGTGCTAATCTATATATGCTCTAAACATATACTATAATTTCCATTGTATTATTTAAGGAAGTGGAGAAGGTTTTTGTCAGTGTTAACAAGCACTGGGTATCTTCCTATATCAAATATATGTGTTAAAAAAGCAGAGGTTGGTTTTCATTAATAAGAACTGAGAAGATATTTGAATGTTTGTAATAATTACAATGATTTTTGCAAGCTGTATAGCTTAAGCTACTTTCTAATATTACATCACTTAAATTCTCACAAAAGTTATAATATTCTCCTACAAAGACAAACTAACACTCTACATATTCATTGTCTACAAACCTAAAATAGTAATGAAAATGTCTTAGAGAGGAAATAGAGACAAAATTCATGCTACATCCAAAGCAAAAAATTTTTTGTGATTTTAAGTATGTGCAAAGAGATTCTTAGCAGCCTGTACGCTGAAATTGTGATTTCTAAGTTATGTTCCAAGGAATTCCTTTTCTTATTTTCTCCCAAGGCTATCTTTTTTTTTGTATTATTATGGATTAGATTTGTTTGGAACATAAAAAACAGAATTGATCTTCCCTCCTTGAATAATGCAGAAGACAATATATGTAGGAAACTTTTTCCAAAGCATGTCTGAGTATATACCTTTGAATTTTACTTGAAAACATGTCATTCCATTCAAAACTCTGAATTAAGATGCACTATTTTTTGCTGAAGGCTATTTTAAATTAGGCTAATAAATTGCTACTCTCTGCCTTGTGTGATAATGCATTACATTATCTACTGATGTACATGTATTGTTTGACTCTAATGGTGTGGAAATTAAATGTTAGACATGGGCCAGATGTTCCTATAGATGAATATGAAGTATGACTCTGGCATAGTTATGTCTCATCAGAACAGAGAGGAAGAATGCAATAACCAAACAACAATAATAACCACCCAAGAATGCCCTCTGATATTGGTCTCCAGTAAGAACTAACAATCATGCAAGCCTAGATCTTTAGTCCCTACCTTTGAGGAGTGTTCTAAATGTCAGCAGTATTTGCACCTGTTCATGAGGAAAGTGATGTCATTTCCTAAAATACAGAATAAAATAAAGTTGTTAATATACTACTATTTGGAGGGGTGTCCAGAGACGGTAAATATATGTCATCTTTATTTGGCAAACAGGAGCAGCTTGATTTGGACCTCCACAGGACCATGAGATTCCACGGGTCATTCCTCTGCTCTGAGCAGTTCACAGCAGGGTGGGAGGAATATGTGACTTGGGGGAAGGGAAATGGCAAACAAATGGGCCTTATGGTGAATTTTGATGAAGATTCCCTGCTGGCTTTAGCCCCATTGGGAAAAAGAAAGAAAGAAAAAGAAACCCATAATCTCCTATTTGAGGTTAAGTTACAAATGGGATAATAATTCAAATAGTAGCAACATCTCACAAGAATGAGGTGGGGTTAGGAGGGTATATAGGATGTTTGCTGCTGCTGCTGTTTCTACTAGCGCTAACTAGATTACTAATGATAAGTAGCTATGTCTTTGAAAATAATCAGAGAGACGGTGATAGAAGACTAATACATTGCATCATCATCCACTCAGTGAGAAATGGCTTTTGCAGATTTGTGCTGATGGATCTAATGTGTGGACTTCTGGAGGCTTTGAGGTGGATATACCTCAGTTGTGGATAAAGAGGTGAAGAAGGACATCTATGGTGATGCTCAGTAATATCTGCGAAGAACTGTGGAGACAGACAAATAGTCAAAGGCGAGGTCAGTGCTTGCAAGTATCTTCTTTTAAAAGAGTTGCCTAATACCAAGAGGAATATCATGGGGAAAATGCAACATGAAGAAAGAGGATAATTTATCCCTGCAAGAGTTTTTTCAGCTGCAAGTGTTGCTATCAATTTTTTCCCTCTCTAGTGGTTCATTTGAAATATGGGATAGTGAGGGATTCATTGCTTTGTGCATTGGAGGTTTGTTTGTGTGCTCCTTTTCATTAACAGCCATATTTCCTTTCCAATTTATGTGAATTCTTTTTTTTCTTTCTTTGGCATTGTTACTGATTTTTAGCCCAAATAAACACTGATTTCTCAGGAGTAACCTAATTTCTACCTTTTTCTTTTTCTCTCATTTCTATATTATATCACTTTCTAAAAACAAAAAACTGGCGTCTTGAAAATATTTTCCTTATTAATCATAAAGGTAAAGTTTCTCTCTAATGTGAGCTTTGCACTCAGATGAATGCTACACCTTCTGGATCTCTCTCTCAAGCTATCTGTAAGCAGAAACCTATTGCTTTTCCATTTAAAAGTATGATTGATTACATATTTAATTTGTTCCTGGTGTCATCAGTTCCAGGCAAATTAAAAGTGTGTATTCCTGCCTGCCAGGTTAATGGAGGCACTGGAAATAACTTTCTAGAACCTTCATCTTTTGGAGAAAATTGATTTCATTCTCCTTAGCTCTGGAAGTTTCCTTTTCTTATCATCTAATCAAATCCACTGTCATCACAGAAGTAGATTATTTGCAGAATTTCCCTTGATAGGTTGATGTTGGCATTTTTTGTGCCTGGTTATTTAGCCAAATTTAAAAAATGGATACTTTTTGTGTTCAGCTCAAACTCCATCTTGCTCTTGGATTGGCCATTTCTTTCTAGACTCACACTTCTTCAGCACTGGCACAGTAAGTAGATGGTGGGCCCAGGACAAAAAGCAAAAGGAAGCCACTTTGCCCAGCATTTGCCTCCTCAAGAAGAGTCACTGGCAGAATCTAGACTAATTCACTAGTTATTTTATTGGGGTTGGTTGAAGGCTGAAGCCCTAATTCCCCTTGTGCTCTAGACAATTACTTCCTTTGAGGTCCTGAAGGAGATGACCATGGCAGGATAGGATGGGAACCCAGGATCCTGAGTGATGTTTGGATATTAAGTATTGTATAGCTAGAGTAGTATTTAAGTAAAGAACATAAATTGGAGAGTTAGGCTTAAAATGGAGTCATGTCGTTATCACTTACTATGTGGTCATGGTCAAGTTGTTGATACTCCTTCAACCTCAGTTTCCTCGTCTGTCCAATATATGTGATTATAGTTACTACTTTATAGCACTGGTGTACTAAATGAGATACTATATATAAAAATGTTCTGCTGAGGGCCCAGTACAAGGTATACCCTCAATACACATTATCTGCTATTAGAACACTAACAATAATCATAATATCATTAGTGAAAGTTAGAAACAAGGATTAATTTTAAAAATTCAGTCAGACACTTTGGCTGTTTGGGACAGTCAGATAAAATCAAGCACTGACAAACTCCCTCTTCTACTTTGTTTTCCACGTCAGATTTTTCATGACCCCTGTGAAACAGGCACCACACGTTTTATTAGGTGATCGTGACCACTCAATATTTACTTTGGGTTTAGTTGGAACAGACTTAATATTTTTGGAAAGTAAATTTTTAGTTTTCAACCCCACTGTAACTGCTCAGTACCTATCAGTTAAATCAATAAAACTAATCAGGTATGTAATCTAATCATATAGAGGCTGCACGATAAATATAAGCATTTTTCCTAAATCCAACAAATCTTGGTATATTCCAATCTTGCAATGTAATTGGGAAACTGAGGGTAACATATGAGAAAATGTGAGTGCAAAAATAAAAACTATATGATGTACAAAAACTTTGCCTTTGAGACTATTTTGGGACGTACCTTTCCACTTACGTCTTGTTTTTTGTTGTTGTTGTTGTTACTGTTTTTCTATGAGAATTCTGGACCTGTTATAATTGCTTACTTTCTTATCAAACACTGCTTGCTTAGATTTGCCCAGAAATTATTATATTTGAAGTCTGTCTTTATGTCAACCCAAAATATAAAACTTCCATTTGACCTGTGACATCACTATTATTTTAAGGACTTAGGTTTGGCAGCTCGCCCATAATTTTTCTAACTTTTGACCTTGGCCTCCATTTTTAGCTTTGCTATTCTTAATTTCACACTGACAATTCCAAAAGACATTGCCCAACATATTGATATTGGCATGGCATTTATGTTATGTTTTACAGTTTATCAAGGGTTCTCCCATGTAATCAGTTTAGTTAAATGTATGATAAGGCACTAAATTATGTAGTGTATAAAGGGAAAGAGTTTTAAGAGTGCAGATAAAACAAATCAGTAAATGATGGAGTAGGGAAGACTTTATTATTATTTTATTTTATTTTCTTGAGACAGAGTTTCGCTCTTGTTGCCCAGGCTGGAGTGCAATGGCACAATCTCTGGTTCACTGTAACCTCCACTTCCTGGGTTCAAGCGATTCTCCTGCCTCAGCCTCCCGAGCAGCTGGGATTACAGGCCACCAAACCCAGCTAATTTTGTATTTTTAGTAGAGGCGGGGTTTCTTCATGTTGGTCAGTGTGGTCTCGAACTCCCAACCTTAGGTGATCCGCCTGCCTTGCCCTCCAAAGTGCTGGGATTACAGGTGTGAGCCACCGTGCCCGGCCTGAGTAGGGAAGACTTTATAAAATGGGGAGAATTGAACTGGGCATTGAAAGTGGGGTAAAATAGTGTTTATATTTTATAACACCTAACTTTATTTTACTTTTAGTTTTTCTATAACATATGAACATGTGCTCCTTATATAACATTCAAAGAAGACAAAGTATATAGAGTCCTCCCTTAAAAATCTTCCCAATACTGTACTCTTCTTCAGAAGTAGCAACTGTTAAGAGTTCAACATACATCACTTTAGTTCTTATGCATTTTCACACATAAATGTGTACATGGATAAGCAAACATTTTAAATAGCTAGGATTATATTCTATTTTAACCTACAACTTTGTTCTCTCCATTGACAATATAACTTGATAATTTTTTTCTTATGCATTTTTGCATACCATAATTATTTTTCAGGTACCATAAAATTTACTCTTAAGTTAAACCACTCAGTGGGTTTTAGTAAATTCACAAAGTTGTGCAGCCATCAATAATACTAATTACAGAACATTGTCATCACCCAAAAAGAAACAAACTCCTTATTTTTCTTCCCTTCCCCAAACCTCAGGCAAGCACTAATCTAATTTGTGTGTATAAGAATTTGCCTGCTATTGACATTTTACATGAGTAGAATCTGTGGTCTTTTGCATCTGCCTTTTCTCACATAGCATGTGTTCAAGGTCTACCCATGTTGTAGCATATATCAGTAATTCATTCATTTTTATGGCTGAATAATACACCACTGTGTATATATAACAAATTTTGTTTATCCATTTACCAATCAATGGACATTTGTGTTGTTTCTACTTTTTAGCTATTATGAATAATGCTGCTATGACTATTCATGTACAAGTGTTTATAAGGATACGTTTTATGTACATATGTTTTCATCTCTCTTGCATATGAGCCTAGGATTGGAATTGTTGGGTCACATTGTAGCACCTGGTTTCAGGCATGGTAACACTAGCTTTAAGAAACTGTCATACTGTTTTTCAATGTGGAGACACCATTTTACAATCACATCAGATATATTGGAAGATAACCACACATCCTTGCTGTTGTCTGTTTTTCTGATAATAGCCTCTAGTGGGGGTGAAGTGGCACCTCATTGTGGTTTGGGCTTAATGATGTTGAGCATCTTTTCATGTGCTTATGGGAATGTGTCTATCATCATTGGAGAAATGTCTATTCACACCTTTCATCTGTTTTCTCGTTGAGTTGTAAGAGTTCTTTATATATTCTGGATACTAGACCCTTATCTGTTATACAACTTGTGAAGAGGTTGTCTTTTCATTTTCTTGGTAATGTCCTTTGATGTACACTTTTACATTTGTTTAAGGAAATCTAACATTTGTTTTTTGTTATTACTTGTACTCTTGATATCATATGTAAGAAACCATTGTCTAACCCAAGGTCATGAAGATTTATGCATATATTTTCTTATAAGAGTTTAGAGTCTAAGCTATTGCTTTTAGGTTTTCATCCATTCTGATTTAACTTTGGCAGAAGGCGTGAGATAATTTTAGAATCAGCTTGCAACTTTCTGGAAATAAATCAGCTGAGATTTTGATAGGAATTGTGTTGAATGTGTAGATCAATTTGAGTATTGCCATCTTAACAATATTCTTTCATTCTATGAACATAGGGTTTTTAAAATTTATTTAGTCTTTGTTAGTTTGCTACTTTCAATGATGTTTTATAGTATTTGGTACATAAGTCTTACACTTCCTACACTTTTAAAATTATATTAATATATTCTCTGACACCATTGTAAATGAAATTGTTTCTTAATTTTATTTTCAGATTGTTCATTATCAGTGTATAGAAATACAATTGGCTTTGGTATGTTAATTTTGTATACTGTACCCTTGTAGAACTTGTTTTTAGCTTTTGTTTTGTTTTGTTTTTGTGAAATCCTTGAGACTTTTGTATAGAAAAAAAAAGTCATATTGTTTTACTCTTTTATTTCTTATCTATATATCGTGTGTTTTATATTCTTGCTTAAATGCCCTGGCTAGGACCTCACTTACAATATTAGATAAAAGCAGCAAGAACAGACATCCTTGTTTTGCTTCTGACCATAGGGAACATGTAGCTTTATCATAAATATGCTTTATCAGATTAAGTTCTTTTATATTCCTAATTTGTTAAGGGTTTTTATCATAGAAATGTGTTAAATTTTGTCACATGATTTTCTTGCATTATTGAGATAAAAAATGTATTTTTTGTTCTTTATTGTATTCATATGATATATTACATTGATTTTCATATGTTGAAA